AGAACAGCAGTGACAAGAAAAACAACAGCAACAAGAACAGCAGTGACAAGAAAAACAATAGCAACAAGAACAGCAGTGACAAGAAAAACAATAGCAACAGTAACAACATTAACAATAACATCATCATCATCATCATCATTAACAACAGTGACAAGAAAAACAATAGCAACAGTAACAACATTGACAACAGTAACAATAGTGATAATAGCAACAGCCAGAAATAACATTAACATCATCAACATCAACAGGGACAAGAATAACAGTAGTAACAGTTACAACATTGACAACAGTGACAAGAACAACAATAGCAACAGTGACACTAGCAACAGCCAGTAATAACATTAACATCATCATCATCATCATCAACAGGGACAAGAATAACAGTAGCAACAGTTACAACTTTGACAACAATAACAACAGTGACAAAAACAAAAGTAGCAACTGCTAGTAATAACTTTAACACCACCACCACCATCATCATCATTATCATCAACAACAGTGACGAGAATAACAATAACACCAGTTACAACATCAACAACAACAGCGACAAGAACAACAACAAGAACAACAACATCAACAATCACAGCAACAACAGCGGCAAGAACAGCAATAGCAACAACGAAATACCAACGGAAGTGGTATTTTAGTTTAAGAATAGAATTCTGTTATAAAACTTTACCATAGCCATAATTTGCTTGTAAGATGTTTAGACTACCGTCTTTGTCTATTAAATCTTCTTGAAATAGAAAGGACCTTTCAAGAATAGACACCCTAAGAATAGAATGAGAGCCACTACCAATGAAGAGAAATTTTAAGAGCAATAAATGAATGGTATGTGAGCGTTCGTCATTGAAACCTTGGCCATTGTAAAGAAATGGCTGTTACGGGAATGTGGTGTATTAGTGGAAGTTCGACTTTGCTTTCAAACATTGTTTTCTTTGCTACGAAATAGTTGTTCTTCCTTTCGCGTGCGATCATAAATGTAATGTAGTTCAATAGGCACTTAATGACTGGCCCTAAGGGAAACAGTGAGTTTTGTTTCCCCAAGACCCTCAATATTCCCGAGTCGAGGCCGAGGGGAACATTGAGGGTCTAGGGGAAACAAAACTCACTGTTTCCCGCGGGACCAGTCATTGAGTGTTTTGTTATACCTCCTAACTCAAAAATAGAAACAAAACCGCGACAAATCCTTTGCTTGACGTCGACTGACACACAAATTTGCCGCAGTTTCAAGGAGCACGACCTGATCACGTGCGAGTCGAAAGTTCAAGTTGCTCTTTCCCTAGGGCGTTAGTGAGTTTTGACCATCGGCACGTGACACGTTCCCCTCCAATCGGAAAACGTATTTGAGTTGGGAGGTATAACAATGGTATTTGATTCACTTTTCCCATCCCAGTTGCTCAAGGGCTAGATAATGCTATGCCATCTACTGAGTAGATCGCCATCGGGTTAATTCCAGTTCGGAATGGGGGCTTATGCAAACCACAACGGTATACCAATGGTATTGCTCGTGCGTTGAAAAACTTTGTAGATTTCATAGCAGTCCTATGCATGCACAACAACAACGTGAATTGACCAGGTTGAGAAAGTTTTTAAACCAGCGTACTGAACAGATCAAGATCATTGCGAAATTGGACGGTAAAATATAAATCTATTTTTCAACGAGACGTCGTCCTTGGCGTCGCCGTCGTTATTGGTTGAAAAACTAGTTTCACGGCTGAACGCATGATGTAGTCCACGCAATCCATTGTTTCTAAACCAATCATGCGAGTAGATAACTCGTGCTATCGGTAGAATAAATCCGTCGGGCCAAATAAATTCGATGTTCAAAACGAAATGACCCGTATTTTGTGTAAATCGGTTTTCATCTTCCATGAATCAATTCTGGGCATCATGTGTAACCGTATGGGTTACTCAAAGGCTGTCATTCTGCTTTCACAAAATTACAGTCTGTGATGTGGTTGAAGCGACAAGGAAAATGCATAGAACATACGAAAAGAAGATTAATATGAAATCTCACCTATATCGTCATCAACACGCTTCGGATTGTTTTATCAACAATGATAGATAGATAGATAGATAGCTTGCATATGCGCCGAGCCGTGAAATCCCCTCTTTAAGCTTCCTAGCCTATATATTAAGTGTTAACAAAACGTACGACACTGATCCACTGGCAGGCCGTGATATTTATCCTGCGGATGTTGTGATCTATCCTAGACAGTGACAACCTCTGTTGTGTTGTGTTTCATATTGGCTTTTTGCTTTTTGTCTAGATAAACTAATGTCTAATTCGTACCCTTTTCTTTCGATTCCCGTCGTTTCCCGCCTTTCCTCGCTACTGGTCTAGGAAACCACAATCTCTTATCTAAATCTAAAATAGATTACGGCTGCTCGACTAAAGCGACACTGAGAGGTAGCTTATGGACTTTTGTCACAAACGAACTTCTTAAGAACTACAGGTTAGTTAGCTTGTGTCACACCACCCCTCCCCGAAAGAAAAAAATCTCAGATTTTTTCTGTCTGGGATGGGCGGCTCTGACACAGGTTAGGGCAGCGGATGTGTCTGATATGAATGTGATAATAAGGCAAATTTTTCTGCGGACCATGCTATCTTATTTGTACATTGCCGTTCGTAGCGCGCCTGCTGTAACCTGGCGGGGCAAAAAATCACTACACTACAGGTACCAGCCACCAGACACACCGGATATGATGGCTAAACGAGACTTTTTTACAGTGTCTAAAATAATTTGAAACTTTTCCAGCAGGTACGAGAAACGAAACAGTCGTTCTTGTCAAATAAACTCTCTTCTTTTCCACGCAGTTATCAATATTTTATTCCCAGTGTACGTTTTGGCATTTGCTAGTTTATTAACGCGATATTTGAGTTTTGCGTCGACTTGCGTCGAATGTTCCGACGAAGGTTTGAAGGTAGATTGAGTGATGACTGTAGATGGTGCCTTTAGAGGGCTGGAAGGAAGGAGATTCAGTTATAAGCTTCGGAGAGCAAAGTGAATGGCCGATAGATGAACCGTCTTGAAGTCAACTTTGTATTAACTAGCAGGTAAATCGGAGTTGCTGTGAAGGTTCGTCGAAGGATTCAGCCGCCATGAGAAGGATACAACGGAAAAAAAGAGTGTGAAATGAGCCAATCTGGATATAATTAGTCACTTAAATTATCTATACAGGTGTACCAACGGAAATAACAAAACACTTACTTCAACATGTAAAATTCCCTTGTTCTAAAGCAAGCGTAAGATCAAGGAAATTACTACGAAAGCAATGGGGAAACCTATATTTACTATTTTATCATCGGTGATGGTCGTAGCTGGGCTTGTAGGAGTTATCGTTGAAGTGTACAAGATGTCACAGGACACTATCCTTCGTCTTGTAAAGCGTGATATCGTCGGGGACTATGATGCACTTTATGATGAGTACTTTCCTCGATATTACCATGCCACAGGGATCTTATCGCTTCCGTTTGATGGTATTGTTGAACCATTTGAAGCTTGGTTCGCAGGAGACAGAAACACGAGTCGAATCGATTATTATTACGGTACGTATGAATATTAATATTCTTACAATAATTAAACGTAGCGCTAGACAGGAACGCCGCCTATTCTTGTTTATATTTGTTAAACTGACTGTTACCAGTCTACGATTGAAGCACATTGTTTTATTATAAACATTGCCTTTGAGAATTCCATTGCTATTCGGATATGGTAAATAAGACCTTCGAAAAAAAAGGTTTCTAACTCTCAAGAAAAGTCATTGCATGTCTTTGCTAACGCAAACAGAATTTATAAAATCAAAAATTTCAAAATTCTTAGCGCTTGTGTTCATGTGGAGAGGAATTCTCCCAGGTAAGAGGATACCTCCTTTTGTGAACCATCTCAGTTACCCAGCATTTTTTACAAAAACGTTTTTTTTTTTCTGCTGACCGAGTCAAACAGTCGCCCTAACAATTTCGCGCATCCTCCATAGTGCCCTGACTTGCTCCTGGTTGGATAAAAGTTGGTTCGTCTCGAGAGCCCTATCTAAACAGAGTGACCCTTCGTTAGTCCTGGAGAAACCATTTTTTAGTTTCTCATATCTAGTTGTTTTAATAAAGGTTGCCCTACAGATGCGTGCACGACAGCGGCGAAGATTGTTATAGGAAGTGCTCTTCGAGGAAATGTCCTCTCGCTCGAGCTGACTCAAGAGACAACTTTTCTTCATATAAACAGGTCCTCATTAATCTCCCTTTCAAAACGCTTGCCGCACAAAATATAACTATCTGTAGAATACAAAGTATGTCTTGCTTGATTTTTTGTAATAGGCATGGACAAGACTATACAGCGAGGAGACCTAGGCAAGCACGGTATCCTGTTTAAAATCGTGCCCATGCACTCGGAGATGAAGCCTTCAGATAATGATTTCATGAGCTGCTGGTATAAACCACTTCCTAAATGGCTGCCGCGTGCAGGACAGAGTGTCATTCCTACTAACCTGTCCGAGTTTAAGGTCTGTTTACTTGATGACAGTTTGCTTCCCTTTTAAGTGTAGCAGAACTCTTACCATCTCCTACAGTATCGGTAAAATGTAGATTAACAGCAACTCAAAAATCGACGACTCGACTCGATCCTCAATCCTCGAGTTCCGAGTCGAGTCCGGATCGAGTTTCAAGCCAAGTCGTTCGAGTTTCGAGTTAAGAAAACACAGAAACAATAATAATGAATGTACTTACCCGTTGTTCGTTGCTATTGTTTCTATTCTTCGTTGCTGTTATCTATTCGAAAAATAAAAACTTCTTCGGTTTACTCGAAACTCCCAACTGCAAACTCCATACTCCAAACTCCACGGATTGAATCTGTCTATAGCTTGTGCCTTTTAGTCAGTTGTCAGCCGGTCAGTGTAAAACGAAGACTGTGGACTGCAACTGCAGATTGCGGACCAGTGGTAAAATGCAGACTGCAGACCAAGCCGGGTTAAATGCAGACTGCAGACTATAGAATTTTCAACTGTTAACGTGTTAGCATTTCCGTAAACAGGCTACCTGAGGCGTAATTTACGCTAATCCTGAGTGAATAATCCTGTTTATATAGATGGTTTTCACTGTCACGCAACAAAAAAATAAATCGAAAACTATTGAGTGGATAAAGTCAAGAAATTTTGATATTATAGGAGACAGGTAAAGGAGACACTTCTCCAATTTTTGGGTCTCTGCGTTTTCCCAAACTTCAGATATTCGTCGAAATGTTTTGCGCAAATTTACAGAGCCCAGTATGGAGCCGCCATGTTGGTGGAGCTCTGTGCTCTACCAACATGGCGGTCGGAAAATAGTGCAAACATCTGGAACTTACTTTGGCTATCTAGGTGACTAATTATCTGAACTGAACCAACAAAGATTTACACAAGCACTTTTCCAAACACTTTAACTCCTAAAAAGGCTAAAAATCATTAGATAAGTGTACACTTCTCCACAAACGCGATCGGAGTGGTATGTCACGCACCGACATAACTCTGAACTTCAAACGGCACTGGTTTCTTAACCAAGCACACTATTTAGCTTAAAAGTTGTAAACAGATTTAAGTTTAGATCCCCTTATGCCTTATGAGGATAAAAATTTTCGTGGCTCTTTAGTTTTGGATTTTGGAATTTGATGACGTCACGTGAAAACGATCTATAGCACTCGCGATCGATCGATCATGGAACTAACACGATATTTACTGAAAAGTCTGTAGTCTCCAGTCTACAAACGTCATTTTACCCCTGGTTTGCAGTCTGCATTTTACCCTCAATCTACATCTTTTACCCGCGGTCAGCAGTCTGCAGTCTGCGTTTTACACTGACCTGTTATCAGCAGAGAATCATGTATTCAACAAAGACGAAACCCCTAGCAGCTACTAGTGTTTGTTTTTTTAATTTTAAACAGATACTATAATGTGAAAATCGTTATTAGTATTGAGTTCAAACAGGAGTCTATGTAATGGACAGTAAGGTAGGGTCAAGTAGGCTGTAAAATATGTATGCAGATCATTGTCAGACAGCCTATGCTGGATAAAATGATGAAATCACATTATGTGTACGCATCATTTACATTTCTTACAATACAGGTTTATAGAATACACGATTATTTTCTATGATCCTTTCTGTCAGTCAATATCTGTGGACTTTCATGGCTGATGCTATAGTTTTGGTACAACACTCAACGTCCTTTATGTCAAGACTTCACCTATCTTCACATACTTTCCTCAGTCTAAATGCCAAATACACGACACGTTCGTTATGTCAAATTCTAAACTGACAAGGCATAATTGCAAAATAGGACCCGCAGAAGTTGGAAAAAACAGCTGCTTTGACACATGAAGTTTTAAAAACCTATTGAGCAGCAAGTTTAACTTTGTAAAATGTCGTTACAGCCATCAATAAGAAAAGAAGATTGTAATTTTACAATTCTGGTAAGGGTGAATTTCACGGTTGTATAAAGTTATTTGAAATTCAGTTTGTGGAGATTTCCCTACATCTCTACTGACTTTCGTGTTTTAAATTTCTGAATTACCTATTTCTTTCCATCGTATCTTGTTTAACTGATCGTCAGAGTTCAAATATTGTTTGAGAGCAAACTTTTTTTGCTTTAACGGTTGTTTAGCGAGCGCTATAGAGGTCGAGGTTCTTTCAATTAATAGAAAGTGATTTACCTTCGTTCTGAATTTCAAATTACTGCCACTCTAGGATTTTGTGGCTATAAAATATTTGTTATTGCCACTTATCATAACTTATTCTTGCTTGATGAATATGTTGCATTGTAACAAGCACGGGCAGCTACCTGTTTTATGATCACGTGACAAATTTGAGCCAATTACAACAACAATGAACAAACCATAACACAGACTTATGTTTTCTCCATCTGTATAAATGAGCGGCTTGCGTTCTTGTAGTGAAAGCCCTTACGTAGATATCATTTACTATTTCTGTGGACGTATTAGGCTGTTACTTCCATTGCGTTCAAGGCAAGAGGTGTCGATTGTTTGGTGCCTCTCCTTTGTTCTCTGTAAACTACTTTAGTGACCTATTCTCATTTTGGGATCAGTTAGTTTGAAAAACAGCAAAACTGCCTGATTGTGTCCTTCAGTGCTTGTCGTACCTCCTTTATCTTCCAACAGTACAGAAATGGATTTAAGGATGAGTTTAACAAAAGCAGAGATATTGTTACAAACCAAGTGAGTTTTAAAGCTCGCATATCTAATCCAGTGATCGCAACAATAGGTGTTACTATACCAAATGGAAGATAACAAGCCCGCAATGCTATGAATATCCAGAGTACACAAGACACTGTCTTTCTGTATCGTGCTATCTTCTGGGAAATTCCTCCTCCTTGCTGAATGTTATCTTGTAGCACTTCAGTTTGGTGATGGCGAAGCGTCACAAAAATTATCATGTAACAAAAGGTTGATACTGCTATGTTTAAAATCCGTTCTATGGAGCCGATGGCCATAGCAATACTTAAGTTGTAAAGGCGCACGATTGCAATAGCAGTGCTAATGAGCCAAAAAGTAACGAGAAAGAGCTAGACTCTTCTGAAAGTTACTACATGTCGATACCTTAGCCCCAACAACAGGGCAAGAAGTCTGTCTACACTTATTGCAGTCACTGTGTGCAAAGATACTCCAGCAAAGATTGAACCCATGGTCCGCAAAAGGATCTTAGAATAGTAACAAAGTTTGGAGTGTTCTGGAGACATTAAATAGCTGTAGAGAATAGGATGTGTTATAACACCTACGCCAAGATCGGTGGTTGCAAGGCAACTTAACAACAGTTTCGATGCTGGATGAAGGGACTTTTTTGAAGAGCAACAATGATGAAAACATTCCCAAAAATTGCAGTGATGGAAAAGGGAATATTTAAAGATAGAATAATTATCTTGTGTTGGGGTTGGAGACGTGCTGGGCAGAAGTATTCTTGGATAATTGTGTTGTTTCCAGGCGCACTTAGATTTGCCACCATTTTCAGTCTTGAATTTTTTTTGTCAAAAGTTAATGTTCCTTGCGTCTGCTGTCAGTCAGTTCTCTTTCTTTTGATTGTCCAGGGTCTTTTACAAAGACACTCTTCTGCTCGTTCCCCTGTATTTCCTGGTGATTTGAAAGTGTAATTTTAGTGCATAAAATCGCAACCATGAACGGGCTATTTCGAGATTTTTCTATTAGGTGGACATAAGAATCATTCACATAACTTGAAAGTTGGCATCATCTTTTATCCACCCAACTTTCTGTAGCCTTACTTTCCTTCCTGTCCATTTTAAACTAACACAATAACTTTGAAAATGAATTTCAGTGCGGCAATGGCAAGAGTAAAAACTGCACTGCGTAAGTAAAGAAACGGTTAAGAGATCACCACTTTTCCATCATTGAGTTTGTAGTAAAATTTTTAAATCGTTAAAAGGGACTTTAAAACTTCTTAAAACAGGAGAGCATACGCTTTAAGTACGTGACCCATCAAATGCTGTAATGGCCTTGTAATGATGGTGCACTCACTCAGTCGACAGTTTTAAGGTCAGGCATATGTACATTGATTAAACAGCTTGCGGCAGCTGCTGGATGTACGAAACTGTAAACTATTGCGTTCGATGGACTTTAATCTGATCATTCTGAGCCATCTGGCGCTATTTTTGACGTATTAGCAGAGTGAAGTACAGCGTCCGAGTTCCAGGAGACCGAAATTAAATATCAACAGATCACTAATTGTCTTTCGTCTTCATGACAGCGAATAATCTAAATATTAATTCTAATTCGAGATGAAGCTATAACTTTTTTATTTTTGCCGACGGCTTTTGCAGCCATTTCATCGCACAATGGCTCTCCCACTCTTTCCAAAAACTTGCGAGGAGTATTGCACACTGCTACTTTGTTTCTGAAGTCGTCGGACCTCGTTTTAAGTCTGTGATTTGTAATACCGTCACTATGGTATTACAGACGAACAGACAGACTAAAATGGGCTTGAAAAATTAATTTCCTAAGGTGTCAAGTTTTGCTGGCCAAGGGACTCCGTTATGAGTTGTGGTATGAGATGTTTGTCAGCAGCGCTTGATTCATGACCTAGATTCGTCAAGCGTTTCTTAATTTGGCGTTACAACTGGAATCTGTTGGTAATCCTGGGTTTCTCCTCGTTTTTTTTTTTTGCCCTCAAAATAAGCACAGAGCTAGATGGACTAACCTCAGTACTCAGACAGTAACGCTAAAATTTGTCCAAAAGTGGAGACGTAAAGTGCCTTAACTATATCATTTCCAGCTTTGAGAAACACTTTATAGAATTGTAACTGGTTAGAGCTGCCTCATCGTAACAGAAAAACAGAGTGCGGCCCTTGAGACGAATCCTATTTCCTGCTCTGAAAACACGATGTTGCCGTTTTTATGAGAATCATTTCGTTTAACCCAATTTCGTTTCAAGATTTGAAAGCTGAAGTTGAAACGATTGAATCTCTCCGAAACTTGCCCCAACATTTCAATATTATATCGAGTCCGTCGGTATACAAAATGCATCAGAAAGAGGTCCGATAACTGAAAAAGCGTGTACATTTCCAAACGGCTTCATTCTAGTTCCCTAACAGAAAAGTGTAATTTTTTAAGTCGCAAACTATACTTAAAGACTGCTTGTAAGATATTTACCTTTTCCTAAGCCATTGTTATAGCAGAGTCGTTGCTGTCAGCATTAATGCGTGTTATTCCACCCAGAGAACATTGAACCCCTCGCGCCCAGCTGCTGCTTACTTTTCAGGTTGGAGTTTCAGCTTTGTTTTTCCGAGGTGTCAGTTTACCGTCGTAGTTTTGAATAAAGCATTTCCTTTTAGCTATGGATTGATTTCAGTGACCACCCTGTCAAAATTCATGTCTGTTACGTGATATTGTCATGGTAACACGCGACGTGTCAAAAACGTTTTATCTGAAAGGATTTTGCAAAATATCGGGACAGTTAAGAAAATGTCTTTCGGCGATTTTCAATCAGTAGAAAGTCCCTAGAAATTAAATTCGTGGCTGATTCCTAAATATATTCGTTATTTTGAGAACGTGCTCGCTATTTATATGTAGATGTAGGTTGCTTTTAGCTCCTACACAATTGGCACGTTCTTTTCGCATCCATCTTGGTCTATTATTCTTGGAAATTAAAAAAAAAAGGAAAATTTGAAAGAATCCTACACTTCATCGAGCAATTTTACTGAATGGAGTCATAGCCAATAAGAGTTGTTAAGAAAGATTTGCTGCCTCAATTTATTCCACATTCATGGTTGAAACTTAAATTTGCACCGATAAGAGTTAATTTTCAAATGCAACCGCTATTTAAGCAAAAGAGTGACTGTTTACATAGCGTTATCTAAACATTCGAGGGGCTGGGAGAATTAGAGACAGTTATGCAATCCGACACGGGTTTGCATAACTCTTGAGAATTACCAAAGTGTTTACATGAGGCTATGTAAACACGGTAAAAGTCCTCAATTGCTTTACTCAAAAAGCGAGGTTTACATGTTCTCGCGTTAACACCCCTATCGACCAATGAGTGCGCTCATTATATCTTAAATATTCTATAACAATTTGCACACGTCAGTCATATTTAAATTGCTTTTCAAACCTGGCCAAACGCACGCAAAATTTCCAAGCAACACATCACAACATTGTTGGATTTCTAGAAGGATCTTGCCAAACACACGCAACATTACAATATAGTGTTAAAACCTGTCTGGAGCAACAAGCTGGCTAAACGTGTACAATGTTGCAATACTTGTCTTGAAATGTTGCGCGCGTTTGATCACATCTTTATAATTTATAAATTATAATTCTCGGGCTAACCATTATCGATTATGGCAGTTTAAAAATTATAGACGACGATTTTAGTAGGTAGGATGCATGTAACATTTGAACCAACTGTAAAGGTTCTAAGCTGTTCTGGCTCATTAATCTTTTATCAATCGGGACCTTTAGATTGGACTACGAGCACAAGATTGACCACGTGTACGATTTTCGAATTTCAAACCAGTGACGTTCCCAGAGCCCTCTCTCTTCATGTTGCCCAGCTCATGGGATGAGATGGGCATGTGATGTGATAATGTGAAGCCTGCAAACTAGAATTGAAAAGTCGTTCTCGTACTCGACCTCGCACTCATACTCAAATCTGAATTCCCCTAAATGTCTAGGGCGCCCGATCGATATCTGGAAGGTCATATCAAGGGTTGGAATCCCTTCAGGGACTCAGATTTTTTCTCCAATTTGTCTCGCGCTTCCGAAACGCTGAAAAATTTATCAACAATTGTATGGTAATCCCAAAACATATTCCTTAGGTTATAACGACGGAGGAAATTACATGTTTACCTCAATTAAACAATTTTTATGGTAAAAGAAGTAACATTTAACTTTCTACTTTCAGTTTGTTTCTGAAGAAATGCACCGGGGAATGCCATGCCTCAAGTACGAAAGGAAAAACAGACGATACAACAAAACTAACACTTACAGCTTTTTCATTTCTAAAACCAAACCTCATAGACCTCTGAGATACGAGATGATGGGCTATGACGACATGCTGACGTCACATTATGACCACTACGTGCTCGACTACATATCATTTGAGCCTTGGAAATTTAACAGGTCCTTGTTCGGCTTGCCGAAAAGTAAGTGATGTTTAGAAAAGTAAGAAGCAAGGAAAAGGCTGTTTCAGTTCTAAAGTTTGAATGAACCATGTGACTAGTGCCAATAACCGAGACACTTAACTGACCTTCGGTTTGCTTGGCATGAAACGGCGCAACTAGGAGAATCGCTCGTGATCCCCCAGAGGAGGAACAACAAAAACAACAAACAACAACCTTTATTTGTGTTCGCTCTTGCAAATTATGCATTTGAAAGAAAGACAATTACGGATGGAACGTTAGGGGTTAAGGGAGGAATTGTGATGGTTAGTTGCCTTGTTTCCAAAGAAGGAACCTGAAAAAACCAGGAATTAATTGAACCAGGACCACCCTGTTCAGAATTCAACGTTGTAGCCATTGAGCTTTCGCGTCTTTCTGGCTTTTATTATATTTCTACCAACCGTACCACACTGATAGAATGTCAAGTCGCTGGCACACCTCTATTGGTAAAATACCCTGCGTGCCGGCAGCATTTTTGTTTCCGTGCAGTCTGGACTAATGAAAATCACTGGAATTAAATAATTGAATCTGAAAGCGTCTTTGTTATGCATGATTTGGTACATCAAAGAGTGCACATGACATTTCTAATGGGTTTTTTTGTTCTTTCATTTATAGACTCAAGTTGCGACAAGAAGGCAAAGAAGCTCCGCTTCCATTATTTGGCAAATCCTATGGCGGAATACATGCACTTTTCACATCACAAAGATCGCGAGCTCGACAAAACTTACGAAGAATACCAAGCCAAACATGGCAAGAATTATTCTTCACTGACAGAACACGAGCGACGGAAACACATCTTTAAACACAACCTCAGGTGCTCAATGTATTTTATCAGGGTTATTTTATTGGCGGCATTTTCTACCTAAGATTATTTCCGTTTTTCACCTTACCCCCATTTCAATTTTATTGTTTACACTTTTCTATTGGCATTACAGTTGCACCTATACTTGGAGACGNAACGGCACCTTACATGCATTTAGGGGACGCTTTTCTTGCGACTAGGTTAGGCTGGTATGTGAGCACCCTAATTAGGGGACCCTCCATTTGTGGGATTTGCTGCAATTTTCATTTACTAAGGCTAGAATTTTCTTATTAAAATGAAGTCACACTCTATAGAGAGTGCTTTAAAAAGACTATGACATCCACTCAATTGGTTTCTTTACTGTCTCATTAGATACATTCGCTCGAAGAACCGTGCAAACCTGAAGTATAAATTAACTCCAAACAACATGGCGGACATGACAGAAAAGGAGGTAGACTTACATAAAGGATTACTCCAAGAAAAGAAATCCAAGAAATCCAAGAAATTCAAATCATCAACTCTGCCTTTCAACCAATCAGTAATGCATACAGATCTTGTTCCCGAGCAGTTGGACTGGAGGGACTACGGTACTCAAACAAACATTATTGATCATTTTTGTGTCAGCCTTTTTTTGCCCAACAGGCTCTCGTTTCCCCCGGGGAAAATTCCCACGTAAAAAGGACGCGGGTGCTCGTCGTACCCTTGAGGGGTTAAAAAGCGGTGTTGGTACCTCTAAGGGTGTTCAGCCTTGATAGGTCCACAGTGGTAGCTTTTGCGGCACCATTTAGGGCATTGAGCCGAAAAACGTCAGTTAATTTGTAGTTTTAGAATCGGTACCTCTTCCATGTTTAAGTGTGAAAAAAAATTCGGGCCACGCCCACAAAACATTACCTTAGTACGCACCTCTTAGGGATTCTTTTCGAAATTTCCGACAAGCACCCCCGTCCTTCTTATGTGGGAGTTCTCCCCCGGGAAGTTTTCACGTTTGCTAGCAATTTGCAATTTCTATCCTTCATTTTTTCATGTTCCTGACAAGTTTGCCATGTTAGTCACCGTCCTCGCCATCAGTCATTCAAAAGTATTCTTCTTTTATATACCAAATTAAACTACATCACAAACTCAGTGGAATCTGGATTTTCACTTGGAATTGGAAAACAAGCACTTTTGTAAGGCAACCTACACCAGGGAGGAGTAAAGCTCGCTTTTCAAAATCTTTTGCGACCAGGGAAGCAAAATTTGCTAATGAGGCAGGAAGAAAACAAAGTTAACAGTTCGGATACACTCTTTAGGTCCGTTACAGAGGTGTGTAAGCCGTTGCTGTTTGTTATTATGGTGTAAGGATGTCGGCAAGAATCAGTTCGAGTTTCTGGCGGTAAAACTAAACGCTAGGACTTTGTTACCTTTTAATTAGTGAAGTTGAAGAGTTGTAACATACTAATTACAGCAGATTTTTAAGACTACTGACATGAAAACAAAACCAAAGTAATTACATCACAACAAACCCAAATAAAGCGATGAAGAACCAATCAGAATTCAAAGCAGAAATATGTAATCGGCGCCAAGCGCGGGAATTCACGTTTGGTTTCGGATTTGCTCCTGATTAGGTGACAAAAAGAATCTTTTTTTTTCTGATTGGCTACAGTCATTTGAGGTTTTGTTTTCTCTACAATAACAAAATCCAAGCTACTTTGTAGTTTTCCCTAAAAAAATGACGGCTCACTGCCGTACAATGACTCCATCCACAAGTGTCTCACTAATTGATCAATAATTCTAAATAAATTATTCTATTTTTTTTCATTTACTTCTGTATCCATCAGGTGGAGTTACTCGTATTCATAGTCAAGGTTTATGTGGTTCATGCTGGACATTCTCTGCTCTTGGAGCTGTAGAAGGAGCGCATTTTTTGAAGGTACAACTTTGTTATTTTGCAGGTTGAATCGTTGCAACTTATGTCGTTCTTAGGAAAATATAAGTGTTAGTGTAACAACATTTCCTCCACTGAAAAAGACGTCAACTGTAGAATAATTTATAAAATAGCCAATGAAAGTGAAGAATGATCATCGCAGTTAATTTTCCAATTTAAGCCATTGGAAAGAAGAAGCCTGAAAAAATCAGGGCTTCAACGGGATTCGAACCCGTGACCTCCGCGATACCGGTGCGATGCTCTACCAACTGAGCTATGAAGCCACACATTGCGAGCGAGGTCAATTAATTAATTAACTGCGATGATCATTCTTCACTTTCATCTACAACCGCAGTTCATATATGAATTATTTCATATAAACTTCACAAAATAGCCAATGATTTCTCACTTTCTGCAACCTTTAATTTTAAACAGTGTTTACATAAATCAGTTTCTTTACCCTCCCCTTTACCTTCTTTGACCAGACTGGAGAACTTGTCGAACTGTCAAACCAGCAGTTAATTGATTGTTCGTGGCCCGTAGGGAATCACGGGTGTCGTGGGGGATTCCAAGACAGAACTCTGAGATGGGTGAAACGCAATGGCGTGGCTTTGAGGCGAGATTATGGACCTTATCTTGCTCAAGTGAGTGGGTTTTTCAATCGTTGGTAATTATGTTGAATGTGACCAATACTAGCCACTTAGTCACGCGAATTTTCGCTCGCTTATAGCTCCACTTATAGACATTTTCTTGACTTCTCATTGGCTCGTTGGTCGTTAGTGACGTGATAATCATTGTAACTGGTCTGTTTTCATTTAATCTTAAACTCATTAATAATTTATCAAGTTTAAACAAAGGAAATCATGACCGTGACGGTGTTTGGATATCTGATCTTAATTAGCGTAGATTTTTACGATTTTACCTCTCCGTTTTCCCCTTAGTTTTGGTTTCGATTGAGAAGATATATCAAACACTCAAGACAGTGTTTGACCACATTTCCAAACACCTCGAAGTTCGTCAAAAATACTCCGCGACGCGTCGTATTTTCAACCCTCCTCTCGGTGTTTGGAAATGTAGTTAAACACTGTCTTTCGTGTTTAATCAGGAGCCACAATCGGGGACGGAGACCGTAAGTCTTGGGATCCGCGCGCACCTATGATATGGGACAATTTTTNAAATAGCCAATGATTTCTCACTTTCTGCAACCTTTAATTTTAAACAGTGTTTACATAAATCAGTTTCTTTACCCTCCCCTTTACCTTCTTTGACCAGACTGGAGAACTTGTCGAACTGTCAAACCAGCAGTTAATTGATTGTTCGTGGCCCGTAGGGAATCACGGGTGTCGTGGGGGATTCCAAGACAGAACTCTGAGATGGGTGAAACGCAATGGCGTGGCTTTGAGGCGAGATTATGGACCTTATCTTGCTCAAGTGAGTGGGTTTTTTGTGTTGGTAATTATGTTGAACGGGACCAATACTAGCCACTTAATCAAGCGAATTTTCGCTCACTTATAGCTCCACTGATAGATATTTTCTTGACTTCTCATTGGTTCGTTGGTCGTTAGTGACGTGATAACCATTGTAACTGGTCTTTTTTCATTTAATCTTAATTTCATTAATAATTTATCAAGTTTAAACAGAGGAAATCATGACCGTGACGGTGTTTGGATATCTGATCTTAATTAGCATAGATTTTCACGATTTTACCTCTCCGTTTTCCCCTTAGTTTTGGTTTCGATTGAGAAGATATATCAAACACTCAAGACAGTGTTTGACCAAATTTCCAAACACCTCGAAGTTCGTCAAAAATACTCCGCTACGCGTCGTATTTTCAACTCTCCTCTCGGTGTTTGGAAATGTAGTTAAACACTCTCTTTCGCGTTTAATATATTACTTGACACACTTGAAAACCACTCTATTGATCCTCCTCTTACCAATTGTACTATGCTTTTTCCAGGAAGGATTCTGTCATTGCGGCAAGTCTGATAACTGCACCTTCGCTCACATTAGTGGTTTCGTCAAAGTTAAGAAAAATAATTCGGACGCGCTGCGACTCGCCCTAGTCACACACGGTCCGATCGCGTCCTCCGTAAACTCGGACAGAAAGACATTCAGGTTTTACAGCCACGGAATTTACGATGATCCAAAATGCGGTAAGTTACAGTATCAAGTTAGTTGAAAATTTCTATTAGCGAGGTTTGTTACTTTCGAGTTCAGTTGTTCCCGTGGCCGTAATATTCTTTGCATCGAGTCAGTCACACAACCTGGCTCCCAGGGCCCCTTCCAATCTCTAAGGTAAAATACCTGGGAATGAGGTTGACAGTCAGAGTAAATGAATATTACAGTTGGATTGCAGTGAACTAGTAAATTGTAGGAGAGAAAAAATTGCAACAATATGGGACACAGTAGATCTACTGAGTAGCAATTCTTAAGGGATATTTAAAAAGATATATATTTTTAATGTTGCCAGGGAAAAAAACAGATCATGCTGTATTAACTGTGGGTTATGGTGTGGACAAAGAAGTTCCTTACTGGATCATCAAAAACTCGTGGGGACACCTGTGGGGAGATGACGGTTACATTAAGGTTGCAATGAATAATGACCGGTGTGGCGTCACTAATGGGCCTTTGTTAGCCGTCAAAAAGGATCCCTCAACTGCCGAGTTCCCGTTGAAGGAACTAAATAAGGTTCCCAGACAGAGCATTAAGTATTTTTCTGAGGAAGAATTGTCCATTATTCCTTTCTAAGAGATGAGAGCAAATTTTCAATTGGAGTGTTTTTGCTTTGGAGTGATTCTGATATTTCATTATCGGAAACAACAACTAGAACTGTCCATGGTTCGGACTGGTTAATAACCTACCGGTGCGTTCTCGTAATATTAGTAAGGGAGAATGATGACCATAATGCTTAGGATGATGACGGTGATGACGGTGACGATGATCGCCAGTTAATACCAGTGATCCAGTAATCACTGATTGGCCTTTCAGGTTAAATAAAGTCTTTTATTTTTATAATGGCGTCCTTAATTTCTCTGTGATAAAGCGAGCCTTCCATTCTTGTTTGAAGATTCGGATAATTTACTTAGCTTCGTTCAGTTCAATTTGCAAATGAGTTTTAGCGAGTTTGATATTCCCAAGGAGCATGAGGGAGGAGGTTTGTTGTGATAAACCCAGCCACCCTAGTCAACCTTACGTGTTTTAATTGAAACGGAGCTAGTCAGCGGAGCGGAGCCAGTCCTTAGGCTCAACTGGGGGATCTGGATTCTATCACAGCTCCGTCCTCGACTTTTCACGGTCATCGAAACAGGTCACGAGGCTTGGCGCCAGCCAGCTAAAGTTCTTTCCACAGGTTAAGATAAGATAAATACCTGGTGTTAAAACATTCTCACTTTAATAATAGCAGCGCACTATAAATAGATATAGGAATAAAATTTAGTTAAACCTTCTCTAGAATTTTGCAAATAATATATTTTTTGGTCTCTTTTTCAAGTGTATTGCGTTATAGAAATATCATTTTACTTTTTAGAGAGTTAACTACGCTTGAGATCAACAACACATAACAGAAAAGAGATGAGTCAAGTCTATTGAGGCGTTTAAACTTTTTGTCCTCCAATTAACGAACCTGATCGAATTCAAAATTGCTGGAAGCCAATAAAAGGCGTGGAAAGCCGGACTGCAAAAAATGTTAATCTGTTAAAACAAAGCTAAAATTAACAGCTTACAATAAAGTGACAAATCCAGGAGAAACTCAGTATAGCAATAACCGGGGTATTCGTCATAGCTGCTATACCTTAAACTCGTGTTTTGGTGACGCTGAGTATTTTTCATGTCAACGTGAACTGAACTTTCACAAAATGCTACATAATATGTTCAAGTTCGTCAATAGTTACTAGATGTCAAGTAATACAATTTACAGAAACCTAATCACTAAATTTGCTTCTACGTACTTTCGTACAATATTAAGCTATTTCCAAAGTGAACACAAGCCCGTTTCAAGTCTTTTCCAGTAGATGTAAATGCTGGCAAAAAGTATTTGGGAGTCAAAACAAGTTGGTGACTTCCCACATGTGCACGTCACACAACAGAACCTGGTTCATCAAAAAACACACACTTACAAAGGAGAAAGATGCGTGGACATTTTTGAGGTCTACGATGAATAGTTGTTAGCCAGTTTAGCTCACTGGTCTAACTTTCTAAACCATATTGAACCCCGTTGCTCCAGTTACCAATGGGGCCACAAACATCTGGTCGTACTAACGGGGCGGTCGTATTAAAGGGGGGTTCTTTAAATAAGAAAATGACTGACTGAGCTTTTGTTCGGGCCAGAATAAAGTGGTCGTAATAACGAGGTGACCGTATTAACTCGGTGGCCGTAAGGCGAGGTTCCACTGTTCATGGGCGACTCAACTCAACGTATCTTTAGTTAAAAAAAAAATAATAAAAAAGACTAGATTTAAAAATTTTAAAAACAAGCAATTAACATTAATTTTTTACAGAAGTTCTATCATCTTGCTTGTTGAGCTCTTCAAATCGCGTTTTAGACCTCTTGTAATCAAACGGAGACAGTTTTAAAGTTGTAACATTAAGTCGTCTTTCCACATCAAAAAAGCTCTGTTTTTTCATCCTCCTGAATGGATAAATTTCATTAGAGTCACCAGTATCCGTCTCGTTCATGGATACAAATATTGGCTCGTTGCTAAGGACTCCACACAAGTTATCTTTCCTTGCAATTTTAACAAATCCTTCTTCACCCCAGAATTTCCCCCAGGAATTCTTCACTATCCAGTATGGAGTGCCATTTTCTTCTCCAAATCCAACCGCAACGACTCCGTGATTTGTCTTTGTGCCTTAATTAAAGATGAGAGGAAAAACTTTAGGTGAACGAAGGAATAGAGTTTATATACCAGTTATAAAGCCATTTCAATTCCAAAAATTTGCCCTGGTTGTATTTAAAGTTGGATAAAACTTCACAACGAATAAGCGACAATCCACCGGACATATAGCGCAGTTGTTTTTCTAAAACTTAACTGATATCTCTGGTTAGCTATTAGACCCAATTAATCTGTTATGTCGAGGTCAACTTTTTAACAAGCTGGTCTTTTATATCGTAACATAATATCAGAGAATTCAATTTGATGTTACCCCCTCCAGGCAGTCCCCCGAACTAAAAGGCTCCACGCTACTGTCATCGGAGTTTTACGGTATTTAATTAGATAGAAGATATTGATCGAATTTCCCTTACTACATTCAGGGTCATCATAAACGCCTGAGTTATAAAACTTCAAAGTCTTTCTACCGACGTCGATTGCTATGGATGCCGGACCAAACTTTGCCAGGCCTTGTTTTAAGGCTTCCACGTCATTTTTCTTGACGGTCACTACTCGCTTGAAGTTCACGACATCACAACCATCTTCCTTGGCACAATGGCAGTATCCTTCCTATTTAACAGAGACAATCTTTAAGGGAGCTTCGTAAAACATATAGTGTCAACTGAAGCCACGTCCACACTATGCGGAGGAATTTAAAAACGTCACGACCACACGTCATTTTGGATTTGAGTTTGAGGAAAACTTGGTGTAGGGAAATTACATGATTAACGTGACTACATCGTTTTCAAAAAGCTCCGTTTTCAAAATGTTTTCCGCCCACACGAAAACGCAAAGCCGGCGCCCGTGTTTTCAATTTCCTCCGGTTTGAAGAGAGTTTTCTAAAAGCTCCGTTTTCGTGACGAATTATTTGTGGACGGTAGGCCTAACCGTAGAAATAAACTGCTGAGTTTTCAAATTTCTCCGGCGTAGTCTGGACGCTGTCTGAGTTCGTACAGGCCCAGAACATAAAACGAAAGGGACACCGTGCACTTAAGAGACACTGTCCATTTTGGTTAAAATTCAATCTAATAAAATAAACTAATGTTCTGATTTGCAGGGCATGTGTATCTTATAGAGTCCGTGGGGCATTTATCTTTTTTTTTTAAAGGTAGATTTGATTATTTGGAATTAGGATTAGTACAGATACTTCTAATATAGGGACGTTTTACGAAGAATGATGGAAACTAGTTTGTTATCTAAAGACCTGAAGATTTTCCTGGTCTGATAGCAGTAATGTTAACATGGCAGCCGCATACCTGCGCAAGATACCTGCCATAGCTGTGACTGGACGCAACTCCGTGTTTCTTGGCCCAGACAAGGGCTTTCCACGAGTAACCCCCGCGACAACCGCTGTTACCAAACCCCCAGCTACAGTCCATAAGCTGCTGTTCTGATATGTCCATTAGTTTTCCTGTCTACTGAGAAATAGGGAAAATCGCCCCAGTTGTAATCACGTTGAACTTTCAGCAAATCAATAATAAAAGAGTTATGAACTTAATGATCGTAAATTTGCAGGAAAAAACCGTTTGCTTTCTTGTATAGATATCAAGTGAAGCTACATTGGGGCTAAGATAAAATTCCGTGAAGATGCAAAAAATTATCTTCTCGTGTTTGAGTTGTAATCACTTAAAGCAGGAGCCATAATCGGGGAGGGAGACCGTAAGCGCGCGCCATTTCAAGTATTGGGGTTGTCCCCATGATATGGGACAATAATTCTATTTTTAGAACAAATTGCGCCATCACCTGCGGCACACGCGCGCACATGCTGCGAGGATTTTTGCGGATGTCGCGCGGGGGAAATGGCGTCCTAAATTCCCGAAATGTTTCATGTTTTTGCCCCACAACCCAACGCGTTTACGTCTGTTGGAATTTTGCNCGCAATTTGTTCTAAAAATAGAAAAATTGTCCCATATCATAGGTGCGCGCGAATCCCGAGACTTACGGTCTCCGTCCCCGATTATGGCTCCTGCTTAAAGCTAAAATTGAGGGGTTTTTGATATATGAAAAGGAAATAGGATGTCCACAAGTTGCTTACCAATGATTGGGCATTTTTGTGATACCATTTAATATCGTAGTATCATTTAACATGCAGAGACTTGTAGTACTGATCCATCGAAACATGAGTAATGAAAAGGGCTGGCAACTGTTCACGGTGGGAACCACAAGTTTACCTATCTCCCCCTGTCCCGTTCCTCGGGAATTTCACGCAGAGATGCCGGGAAGTCTGGGGAAGAAATAGTGTCGACCTCTCTCCAGGCTCCTCTCGCCCAAATATTCAATATGGCGGTTTCGGGAGGATCAAATCAGGGAAGGTTAGAGGTTTGTTTGCAGTCTCTGTGTTAATTTAACGGCGTAAAATCTTTATTTAAGATGCCTTAATTTACTTCCCAGTTAGCGCCAGAACAATAGCTGAATTAATGTAATTTTCAACCAGCTATAGAGCGTTTTGTTGAAAATGAGTTCTTTTCTAATAAAAGCAAAAGTTTCCTCTTGTTTCAAACAAGAGGAAACTTTTGCTTTTATTAGAAAAGAACTCATTTCCCGAAGGAGAAATATTCCATTGTTTGGGAAAACCGTGACCGCCGTGACGTCTTATTAAAATGCTAGAATTATTTTAATATTCTGGCAAGATGAAACATGGTTCTGTCCCAGTGTACCAGTCACACGTACAACGAAACCAATTCAGGAGTCACCGAATAGCTGTAGTGTATTTGGTCTTTGGTACAGTGGAACCCCGCCTTCGGCCACTTTATTCTAGCCAAAAGAAAAGTTCAGTCAGTCATTTTCTTATTTAAAGAACCCCTTAAATATGGCCACTCTTTTAATACGGCTAGATTTTTGTGGCTTGCTCGTTGGTGTCCGGATTAACAGGGTTCAAGTGTATCAGTTCCTTGTGTACCAGTGCATGAGCTCAGAACCTGAAACATCTTGGATTTTTTTTTAAATATCCTGTTGTACTTTTAAAAGTAACCTGGATGGCATAAGCTCCTTCTATTGGTCCAGTGGAAGAAAAGGTCCAACATGAGCCACAAAGACCTTGAGCCTTAGCAGGGGTCACCACACCTAAAATAAGACATTCTGAGTATAAAGTCCAAGGGGTCCATCTTGTACAGGTCCTAAGATATTTTGTGGTTCCAGAAAATACCCATCCCAAGGAAGATTGTTGAAAGTTTAATTTCCAGAGGGTGGAGAGTCTTAAAGCCAAAATTTTAAAAGGAAAGTATGAAGCTAAACTGGATTTTCTAAAGGGTTTGGAGGACGCAAACCGAAAAACCTTCCGTGGGATGGGGCAGAGGTATGGATAGTGTTGGGAACAGCACATCTGCAAATTCATGGTTGCATTTTGGACCATTTAGTAAATAAATTAGAACTCTGAACATAATTATCTTGAAAATTCGCATTTCATGAACAAGCAAATTCTTTTAAGTTACCGAGATGCATTTCCTGTAATGAGATAAACTGCCCCCACAGGGCCTTAATCAGTGATGTTAAGAAGTGGTTTAGAGAACTGTTATTCAAAATGACACTTTCCAAAGAACTTTCTCCTCTCACCGCAAACTCTTTAATGCCTGGTTATTTGTGTAGCTAGCAAAGTTTGAGAACTGGGGCAAATGAATGTGGGGGTGTTGCACGGGGGAAGGGGGGTACTCCCTTATAGGGGCTAAATAGGTATGTGCAGCCCTAAAGGGTAGGGTTTTTCAGCTGTTTTGGTCATAAATAGGGTATTGATTTTGGCCATTTTGGTCTTGAATGGGGTATGGGTTTAGCACTCTAGTCTTGAATTGGGTATGTTTCTTAGAAGAAACTAATTTTCATTATTATCAATAAGACCGTCAACAAAAGCCCTGCATAAATTATGTTTAGGGCAACTGTGCTAGCCACAACGGTCATAAAAAGACATAGAATTTTTGGCCTGGTCATAAATAGGGTAGCAAAGATCACAGATTTTGGTCATAAATGGGGTAAGGGTTTTAGGAAGTGGGCTGCACACCCCACCCAACTTTTCTGGGAGTTCCCCCGCCAGGGGATGTTGAGGGAATTACATTAACCCAATTATGCAAACATTTGAATTGTGTACAGCCCTGTTAGTGATTGCTCCCATAGAAACTACACTGTGAATATGGACTAGATCGCTCCTGCCTCTGTGTAGATCTTGTGTGGTGGGCTAAAAACTGGCACACAATCTTAGTAAAATCCTGTACAATGCAAGTCCTCGCTTTGAAGGAAATTCTTTTTTAGACAATCGCTTGTCACTAATGTGGGCATGTGTAGGGAAACAAAAGTGAAAAGTGCTACAAGGTGACTAAATACGAGACACCTAAGGCATGTACAGTATGACCATATGTTTGGCCATGAGTTTTCTTGAGACTATGATTTCAATGTTCTATGGTTTTGTTTTAAGAATAGTAAATTAGTTTCCGTGCATAGATGCAATCTTTGTATTCAAGAATGCAGTATAGAAGGCGTTTGAGTTTTAAATTGGTTTCTTGTTGTCATTTTCATCTTTTCCGGATATCACACCTCTTTGACTTTTCAAAATCCATCTATTTATGAAACCTACCGTATTCCCGCCAGTCCAGAGAGTCAGGGAGTGATGTCTCAGGAATGGTTAATCTAGCCTCCGGTATTTCCTGTTTCTTGAGCCCCTCGTCCCCACCGCTGGGATCAATCAATAATCCTTTGTACATTTCAAACTCGTTTTCTGTTACGTCACTAAGCTCATTCGGCGCCAACGTGAAGTTCAGAGCGGCTCGGTTCTTAGAACTTATGAATCTGTAATGTTAGTTTAGAAAAAAATAAATTTAAAGAGCTTCTGTTTTGCGCATTAAATATTTCTCATCAAATTGTCGAATGGAGTACACACCCACATAAAGCAGCCAGACATGAAACTATGAACAGATAGGAAAATTTAAGTCATTTGGCTGATGTTCAAAATTGAAGGAGGTCTCAAAAAGAAGTAAACAACTAGGAAGTCAGAAATCGAAATAAAGATAACTGAGGAAGATTTAGTTTTCCGCAGGCTCTCGGTCAATGGGGACGATCGAAAAAGCCGGCGCGGTCCTGGGATTGGGGTCTTAGACCTCGCTCATTTTGTTTTCGCCTACCGCTCTTTCGATTGTTCCAGCTGACCGAGAACCTAAAACAGGCTGGGGAAGATTAAGACAGTTTACGAACGAGTTAAAAATTTAAAAAACAAAACAAAACCAAACAAATGGCCAATTGTTTCAAGATGCGCCCTCGGGGAAGTATTGTCTTTTGTAAGAATAAGAAAATCTGTTTTTTGCCTGGTCAAAACAAAATCGCTGTAGCAAGGGCGTACCTTTATAACTGAACTAGATGTTGTGAGGCGAGGTTCTACTATAACACTGCACTGCAAAATTAGCCAAGGACTCGATACGATTGAGTGATAGTACTAATAAATCACCATGACAACCAACCAAAGAATAAATATGTGTTCGTGTCATTGTGTCGTTGCGTTAAGAAGGGCAAAATTATCTTCACGTATAGAAACAAACTTTTTAGTAAAAGTTTTCTAACAAGGAAGGTGGCAGACCTCATGTTATGACGAAAGATGTGTTTCCTCTGTTCATGTTCTGTCGGATCGTTGTAAGCTTTGCCGTGAGTTTTCTTAAATTCCTCAAACATTTCTTCCACTTCACTATCTTCAAAGTTTTCATGCATAAACTCTGCCATTGGATTAAAGTGGAACTTTGACTTCATCTTTTCAATCTTCTTTTTGCAGGAGGTTCCTTTAAACGAAAAAGAAAAGAACCTCATACAATTCCAATAGTTGGTGGAAACATTCATTAGCTGCAATGTGTTTCTTACAGAGTATGCCAAGTGAAGCCGAGTTTGAAGCTGAGAGCAGAGATCTTTTTTGGACAGAAGGTGCCTTTTCCTATGCGACAGAAAAGTCGTTCCTTTTCTTTCGCAAAAAGACCTCTAGCTCGCGTCTTTGTGTGTTGTTCCTCGGACTGAACACAATTTATGCGAACTATCTTTAACCTTGGTAATTGATAAGTAGTTTATTATTTTAATATTAGGGGAGTTTAGATTTGAGTATAAATATGAGATCGAGTACGAGAACGACTTATATTATCAATTTTAGTTTCCAGGCTCCACATGATCTCGTCCCATGAGCTGAAAACCAACATGAAGAGCGAGGGCTGTGGAAATATCACTGGTTTGAAATTCGAAAATCGTACTCGGACTCAATGTAGAATTCGTAGTCCAATCTAAATGTCCCTAGTTGTTTGAAAGCTTATTAGAAAATTGATGTTCTAGATGGAAGGCTAAAAATTTAAGTTTAAAATTGATTTTACTACTATCGCTATATATGATTATTTTCAACATAGTTTTGCTTACCGTTGGGGATTTTCATAACATTGAAGTCAAAGTCCCATTCGTGAAATGAAAGGTAATCCACAATGTAATGATCATAAAACGAGTGTAAGAGCGTGTCGTAGCCATGCATGACGTAACGCACGGGTTTATGGGGCTCCTCCTTTGTCACGTAAAGAATGTAGGTGTTGTTTTTGTTGTACACAATTGCTGTGCGTCTTAACTTGTAAACAGGCATTCCACTGCGAACCTCTTCGCCAACAAACTAAAACGCAATAAGAATGCAAATTAATGTGTTTGTTGACCTCAGGTACACAGCCGTTTTTAAGAGCTTTCCCATATCATATGCAAGGTAACGAGTATCGTTGCTATGGCCCTTGGTGAAGAAAATTAGATTCCTTTGGATCTGATTTCCCGGTTGTTAATTTTCATGCTGGTAACTGTTTTCTACTTTGTTGCAGTGTTTCGTTCCCAGTGCCTAGTTCATACGACATGGTGTCGTGCCAAAGGGAAAGAGGAGGCGGCTTCCGTGACGACATTCAAAACAAACATCTAGAGTGCAAGGTAAGCAGGTTGGGCTGATGTGTACTTTCCTTAACAAAACTGTAAATATGTTAGAACTTGAAAGTTTCTTCGTAAAATTTACCAAAAGCAACTAAAAATAAATCTAATTGAAATGATCATGAATAATGATTCTGGACCCGAAACAGATTGAGAGCACAGCAATCCCGCATCTCGCGATTCCTCGTTCCCGCCTGCGCAACGTAGACAAAACGAGCGACACTCGAGGGTTCTGTTACAAGACCGATTCGAAATTGGTTTAAAGAAACAATACAGATAATCGAAGGAGCTCGACTGATATGTGTTCCTTAGTTAGGCAGGCATTCGCAATTAAATCGGAAGACCGATATTTTCGAACTTCCATTCGGGACTTTCCATGGTCACTCTAATCAAGGGGAGTGAGGACTTTGAGAGTTGAGGTCTGGTAACTAGACAAATGACCTCGTCGCAGTACCCGCCTTTTCCTGATCGAGAGAGTCCTGGGACGACGTTTCTAGGCAAGATCTGTACCAAACAATCATCATTTGTTTTCAAGAGTTGTCTAATTTGTTCGTCTTTTGGAACTTGAGAACAGTTACCTCGAATTTCTTCACGTCCTCGGGGAGAACGCTCTGCCCCCTCTCTGGGGACCATCGAAATCCGGGCCTGTACCAGCAGCTCCGAGCGTTTTTATTTAGGTCGTCTCCCTTGCTCCAGTGAGCGGGCACCAACTTTATCAGGGCCCCATAAGGCATAAGGTCCCCTCTCTGATATGTCTTGTCCATTCCTGTAAATAAACATGTAACAGTGTATAAGGTGAGTACATGTACTATTTTCAGAGAGAAATTTTGCATTGAGACCTGTTCTTAGTTGACAATCTTTTTTTTATGACTGCGTTGCTAAACAACGCCCGAATATTCTACGAGCAGATGGTCAACTCGATCGGCTGCGCCTCGTTGACTGTCGCTCGTAGAAAACTCGGCCTCGAAGTCTAATTGCTCTAATTTAAATTTGTTGTACTCTCATTGGATGAAAAATGTAAGGTAGTGCGTAGAAAAGATCTGTTTGATTGTGCTACATCAAGCAATTCAAAGGGATTCAAACATTACGCGCGAAGGCCACCGATGCATGTAGAGAAAAATCACGTATACAAGAAGCAGATCATACAACTGTTTTCTTTCTCGCTGCGCTCGGCTTGTACTGCCACGACCTCGGGCCAATATTCCCCCGTGCGGCCCTTGTGCACGGTTAATTAGAGGTTAATTCAACTTTCCAAATGGAGGTTATTGTTTTATTATTTATTTCAAATTCAGCCAAGACAACTGCACGTGTTTACAAAGGAAAAGTTAAAAGTATTTTAATTCAGTTTGTGATCCTATGTGGATTTAGAATTGCATTCAACATCTCTCGGCGCAATCCAAATTCGTTATTTTATGTTTTTCCACATAGAGTTCTTAAAACAGATTCATCCTCGGGCCCGTTTCTCGAAAGCTTCGGGAACTTTTCGGGCTCGTAAAGCCATTTTTAGTTCATCTATATCTAAAAATGGATAAGTGTATACGCCTGAAACTTCTGTGAATAAAACAGCTCCGTAATCGTAAGGTTCGAGATTTTGCTATGGCTTTCCGGGCCCGAAACGTTTCCGGGGCTTTTGAGAAACGGGCCCCAGGGCAGAATTAGTCCGTTAACTGACTCTCTTAGAATGCTGGCGAGAACGCGTGCGAAACTGAACCAGCGCGAACGCAAATAGATGGGGTAATTAATAACATCGACGTTTTCGTAAAAACCCTTGCGAAGTGTGAACAGCATATGTTGTAGAATATTGCCTTCACCATGGGGTATTTTCAAAGAACGGCGATTATTGTTTTCAAGGACAACAGTCCTACAATCAACTCAAAATTGCTTAATGCTTACTTGACATATCAGCGACAGAACACAAGTCTTTTTATGTCTCCATAACAAGTTAAATGTCAATATACTTAAGTACAAATAAGATCAAGTCAGACACCAGGACAATATGTTACCTGTCCACCCTTGCTGTGAAATAAAATCACTTATCTTACCGTAGTAATAGTCAATGCGACTCATTTTATGTCGTCCGCCGTACCACGCTTCAAACGGCTCGATAATTCCATCGTAAGGTAAAGATATAATTCCCTGCGCGTGATAAAACTCAGGAAACTTGATCTTTTCTGGGATGGACTGTTTCGAATCATCGTCCTGTAGAAGAGTTGCATTTTCAAACGTGATGACAGGTTCCAGCTCGTCGGAGTTATCTGAGCCAGTTTCGTTTTGTTCCGGGTCGAAAGTGCTTTTCAACTGATTTATTTCTTCAAAGAAATAGTGCTGTCCCCTGCAGTGATGGTTGAAAATGAGCACAGTCATTGTAATCCAGAGAACTGCTTCAGGAACAAAAGTTCCTTCATGCATCGTTATAGGGTTTTTTTTGGAAGCTAATGCAAGTACACTTCTGAGAACGATGTCATCCTATTTGGCACTGTACAACCTGTCTGGGAAAAGAAGGTTTTTTCTTTTTTATCCAGTCCTTAAGAGAAATAAGGAGTAGTCTTAGGAACCTGCGGGTAGTAGCTACCGTGACTAACTGGTACCAGCAACAATAACAGAGGCAGATCAGAAAGTCATGACAGAGGTCACTTTGAGGTGTTCGTACATGAAGGCACGGGAGTGTAAGGGTGTCATTTCGTACAAGGAATTGTGTACGAATTTGAATGAATTTTAGTAAGATGCTCTTGTTATCTTGATTAAAAGCCTCGGGGTTTCTAGTTCTTATATTTTCGGGGACATTAGGTGGGTGGGGATGAAGTGGCGATGGGGGGGAAGGGGGCTATTTTTAGTAGGTTGGCTTATTTATAGAAGAAACCCCTACACCTAGAAAAGAGTTGGCCATTTAGTTGGCTGGGATTTTGCGCCAAAAAGAAAATTCACTGGGTAAATTCAGCGATTACGTGCCATCAAACGAAAATCGTCAGGCTTTGAACATGAAGGTTGAACACAAAAAAGCTCGACACACTGTCGCCAATTGAAACTTTCTGCATTGTAACGACTTCAATGATACAGAAAAAAAAAACAAAAAACAAAAAACAAATCACTAACAATAACACAACTGGGAAACTTAGCGCATTCGTCGTCTTGTTTCCAAGATCAGATCAGTTTGGACATGATCATTGATTTCAAAATTAAAAATTAAACTTCGTATCTTCAATTCCATTTCCGCGTTTTACGGATTATGGAATCGTGTTATCTCTTTGACGTTGCTGTCAAATGGAGCCTTTTACTGTTTAGTTCTTTTCTCGGCGATTTTGAAGACGCTTCCTCTTCTTGTGGTGTGCGGCTAAATGCTTTCAAGTGAAGCACATGTAATAACCGGAAACAACTGTGGTGTACATGATGGCCAAGTGACTAAATATTTCTACTTGCTCAAAAATTCCTGTTTAAACGGCGCTCTTTAAATTTACCGTGAGCCAATTTCATCAATATGTTTGTTTTTCCGAGTTTCGAGTTTTCCTCGATGATTAGAGTAGAAAAATTCCTTTGATCTGTTTAACGTACAGAGAGAAATAATGTTATGAGGCGAAAATATTTTGAGGATGATTGCAGGTAACCTCTTTGTCTTGATGGTTCCCACTTTCCCTATTTTTTTCTTCCGCATTTTATGGGGATATGACTGTGGTTCAACAGATAAACTGAAGATAAATACACAATTTCGTTAGCAACGCGCTAAACGCCGAGCTGTTTCATATTACAAGCAGCGCCGTTTTACAAGACGAAATACTTTTGTGTTTAGGCCGAATTTAGGTTCAAAGCATGCAGCGACATCAATCAATTGAAACGAAATAAGAAATTTTTTTGAACTGGTGACATGATTAATCTATGATTCATATACTCCAGCTAAAGTTACATCGTTACGACAATAAAATTAAAAAATAAATAAAAATAGTACCGCTTGCACTTTTTATGTGTAAAGGATCCTGAATTGATGAAGCGTTATAATTGTGACATTTTCAAGTATTAAATCCTACCACATATCGGACATACAAACGGAGGATTGTTCAATACTCATCACTTGTTTAAGTCGTGAAGGTTAGGATTCAAGTGGTCAAGCGTTATGACCCGTGCGAGTCGTGAAATAAGACTAACCAATTGTATGATTGGTTCAGGTAGTGAATGTGGTACTTTTCAGTGAATTAAAATAAAGTAATACTTGTGGTACTTTGCATCTCATGATATTCTTGTTCTATGGAATCACTCCTAACCTATGTGTTTCTTTTTTCCTTGTAAACAGTGTAAAGAGCACTGCATTTTTATTGCACAGTCAGTTGTTCTCTTAAAAAAGCTTCTTCACATGTTTCTTTCATATGATCACCCATTTGGGTGGTTTTGTGCACCAATTACGTATCAATTAATTTACAGATCAGCATCGCGATTCGGCATTATCTGCTTTTTGGTATCCAGTTTATACTGCAAATGTTTCACAAGGATCTGCGTGGAGACGCTTTTATCTCGTTTTGAGATTTTCAGCGCTTCCTCAGCTGTCAGTTAGAACTGATTTCAGCCCATTTCACAATCAGTATCAGTAGACTTAGATCAGTAGATCTCAACTACCAGTTTAAAAAAAAACGCCTTATTTCTCAGCTGGAGGTTAAAATTTTGACCAATTATCAGCGATAAGATGAATCCCATCCAGATAGCCTTTCACGACCCGTTGCCGGGCTTTTTGCCGTTTTCACCTTCCTTCTTCCTCGCGGACATTAACAGCTGGTGCCCGCTATGTCGCATGCCCATATATGGAATGTTTTGGCAGATGGCGTTCGGTCACTGCACCGTTGTTACTCAATGATGTAATACAGTGTGTGAATCACGTATAAACATGCTCGTTTCTCTTCCAAACGGCCTTGTAATGACTCAGGGTAACTCCCATGCCACGGTCGAACGGTATCGCAGAAATACCGCATGACATGATGAATGGAGCGTGAAATAAGCACTTTAAATACTCCAAGTGGGTGGTGGTCTCATAAGAATCGCAACTTCGACCTGTCGATTCGGTGAATTGTGCGGGAAGACCCGGTCTGTGATATGCCTTATGGAAGAGCGATTTTGGCCGGTTTTATAATCCTTGGACACTGGCTATTTGTTCGGAGCACACCTGTCGACAAAGGCGTTAGCGAATCGGAACGAGAAGACAAGCGCGGCGGAGATTTAAAGAGTTTGCATTTTCCCAGTGAATACTATGCAACTGGTGTTCTGTCGCTTCCCACAAGCAACATCAACGAGCCGTTTGAAGTTTGGCATAGTCAAACTTATGACAAGAGTCGCATTGATTACTACCACGGTAAGAGCAACATACTCACATCCCATCTTAATTCTCACTCTAGATCAAGATTATTATCATGAGATATCCTCCTCTAAAACTAAAATGTTTTCCCACAGGATTCTGTGCTTAACGGTTTTTTTTTTTTTTTTTTTTTTTTAAAGCTTTGAGTTAAAAACCGTCGGTACCAGCAGAATTCGCAAAAACATTCAAAGATCAAGTGTTGTTTACCAGCTATTATAGTGCCTCGATTATTAAATGACTTGAATGACAACCACGACATATAAATCACGTTCTTCGCTTGAAGTGTTTTTAAAGGTATAAATACAACACAGCTACCTATTGTAGTATAACGCAGTTTTCACGGGGTTACGCGAAATTTTCAGCAATCATAACGTATTCTACTATTTCTTTTTCCAAACTACAGATCAAAGCCGTATGCTATTCAATGTATCCTCAGGACGTTTGGATTGTCATAAATAAAATGTTATATATTTTTCGTTTCATTCTGCTATCAGGGAATGCCTCAGTTTATTAGCCGTGGATGAACTTGAGGTTTTTCGAGGGCGTTGTCTTATTCGGAATTAGACGGTCATTGAATATTTCTCGAAAACGTTTATTGAGTTACTTTATTGCTTGAGATATGCTGCCACCCACTTCAAGATTATGAGTGAACTGACAAATGTGGACCTTGTGGAAGCCATTTATTTCGCGTTCAAGAGTCAAGAGGAGATAATACATATTTGGTGTTTAGCGTTTTCATGTGCTCTCAATCAGAAATTTAGGAGTGAACTGAGTGGGTTAAAACACAGCCTTGTTTCTGTCCCCAAGGTTTTCTGTTCGCTCCGATCGCGATGTGTGGAATTGGGAAAAAATGCGTTCATGGTAAAATGCTTTAATTTTGCTCTCTTTTCCTGGAGGGGGTAAGGAGGGAAGGGGAGGAGTTGTGGAATGAGAGGGAGAGGAAAATTGTCGTCTAGGCTCTCATGCTTCCTTTGTTTTCTTTCGATGCTTATACTAGGTGAAGTGAAAACCTTTCAGAGAGGGGATTTAGGAAGACATGGAATGTTTTTCAAAATCATCCCAAAGTTCTCTTACAAGCGACACAAGAATCACCGCCATTTTACGGGATGCTGGAAGAGGTATGGGACCAAGACCAGAAAGGCTAAGGCCCAGTCCATTCTACCGTGTAACGCGGCCTGGCCATTTAAGTCTCGTCTGGAAGACTTTAAGGTAACTAACCAATTTGACTGGTTTTCGAATAGCTCAGAACATGTCTTATGATGTAGACCTGAATTCTGAGTGAACGTAGCTATAAAATCGAACGCAGTCAATCCTTTTTGCGTGATTTCAGAATAATTATAACTGGTCACGAGTTGTAGGGTTAAGACGACAAACAATTACTGTGTGGTTTTGTTTTCAGTTAGCCACGCCTAAAAGCGGAGCTCCTATTAAATACTAATCCTTTACTCGACACAATAACCTTTAAAGAAATTCATAAATAAACATCTCACCAAACCGAATGAATTTTACAAAACGAGGAAAAGTACATAAACACAATATGCATATCTTTACATCCGAGTATCAAATAGCAAATCCTGTCTCAACGAAGGATGACCGAATGAAAGAAATGTTAAAGAAAATTCCTTTAAGATTGATTATCATTCAAGGTAAATCCAAGAAATGCATTTAGAAGCCAAAGTCCAAATAACTCTGTGGTTTTGATTTCAGTATGAAGGCGATGCCACTATGAATGACATTAAGTGCACCAAATGGAGCTACAATATCACCGTGTTCGACCGAAATAACTCGTACGTGTTTTACGCGACCAAGACCAACCCACCGAAACCTGTGTACTTTGAAATGAACGGCTACGATACACTGTTGGTGTCTTACTACGACAAGTACGTTATTCGTTATCACAGCTTTGAAGAGTGGGATTATGATCCTGATAACGATCCCGATGTGTTTGAGGTTCCACATCGTAAGTACTGAAATGCTCTCTGTTGGGGATGGAAACTTAGTTGTTGTGGTAATTTCCTTAAAATATAAGTTGACACGGACATTTTCTTTGTTGATAAACGTGAGATGCGTTACAGGAGATTTGAACAGTTTAGACAGCTTAAAAGTCGCAATACGAAAACAACACATTATATATCGATTAAGGATGTTCTCGCGACAATTTTCCAGTCGATAGATTTTTTTTTAAATTTTTACTGCAGTCAGATAATGAGTTACTTGTGTCAGAAATGTCGAAAAAAAATTGGGGGTCACCGACTTCGTTTCAGAAGTAAAGCGTGTGGAAAAGTACCCTGGTTTCGAAAAGTTGGAGAACGTAATTCAGCATGGTCTACAGGGGTTTATAGTTAAAAATATCGAAGATGAGTCCACTCTAAGTCATATTTTGTAGAAGTGGGTCTGCTGCGTAACTAATTCCAATTTTTACCAACGTTTTCACAAAACGTAACCCTTCAAGAGGCATTTGAAACCGTCGCACAGACAAACGAAGAGCTAAAAAGAACGGAATTCGATGACGCATTTTGCAAAAAATTCAAACTTCTAGTTGATAGATTTTCTTCTTTTTTTCGGTAAAGGTAGAAAATCTGTAGAGAAAATGGCCCCTCAAAAGATCGTTAGTCCAGGAAAAGCCATCTGCCCTATCAGTGTTAATTTAATTACTTAGCGCGCTCGCTCATGCATGACGTGGCGTGTGAATTTGCGTGTACAGTAAGGATGCGCTGAAACAATTAGTGCTCGCAAAACAATTAAGTGTCTCAAAACCAAAATCAGAGTTATCACTTTGGCCAAACACAGAGGACATAGACAGTCCAGTGAACCAGTCAAAACTGGAAACAACTGTCTGTAGTCAGTGCGACACGCGGTGAAATGGGTCTGGCCTTATTTCTGACTGGATGAGAAAGCGGGCGGAATTTTCGTAACCATAATGTAGTAATGCAAGAGCAAAACATTATAAGAGCAAACAGTATAATTAACCATGTTTCTTTTTATGGCAGTAAGCCATGATAAATGGTGTTGGAACATCGATAAGAGGTCTCAAGGCAGTGATGGCGCGTCAATGTCCCTGAACCCTATGGGAGAATTCGCCATGCTCCACCACGAAAAGGACCCTGTTGATGAAGACTTCCACGATTTCCGTAAGAAACACAACAGGGTATACAAGGACAAAGTGGAGCACCAGAAAAGGAAGCACATTTTCAGGCACAATTTAAGGTTTGTAACATTGTCAACTGCCATTTAGCCAATCACAAAACGCCAAAGACAATCTTAACCAATCAAAACTCGAAGAAGATACGTGTAGCCGGCGCAAAGAGCGGGAAAAAGCTTGTGAGCGAGTCGCTATTGGTTATATTTCTGATTGGCAGACAATATGGCCCAAGTATTTTAAACCAATCACTAAGCGTGGTAGTGCAGAACCAAGGCAAACGCAAATTAATATTGACGCTCGAGTGAAAAGTGCTTTTGAAGTTCTGTAGCTTGCTTTTAAATAGCCGCGTTTTTGTCCATCGTTAGGTTTATTCGTTCTATGAACATGAAAGGCAACGCCTATCATTTGACTGTCAATCACTTCGCCGACATGACGGATGAAGAATTTCAAAGCCACAAAGGACTCATGCCCGGAGATGGAGGCTACGGGTCACGTGATTTTGATGACGATGACGATGACCCGGGAACTGGTTATGATATAGATAACTACAGCAATGAAGAAAAGCGAGAGAAAATAAAAAGAAAAAGTAGATATGGTCATGTCCCTGATGAATTAGACTGGAGAAAATACGGTAAGATATTCCCATGATTCCACCATTTTCTTTTTATTTATAACACGACCGTTTGGGCCTTTACATTAGGATTTTCTTTTCTAGCTCTTTCACACCCAGACACAACCCTCAACTAGCTCGGTTCTTCAAATTCCTCGAAGTGGGACCGTGTAGGGTTTTTTGCCCACATTTATCTATTCATTTTACTGACTCTACTCCCTTCTAGCGTTTGAACAATTATTCTCAAACTCATTAATAATTCGTCAAGTTTAAACAAAGGAAATCATGGCCATGAGGGTGTTTGTATATCTGATCTTAATAAGCATAGATTTGAACGATGTCGTTTCTCCGTTTTTTCCTTAGTTTTAGTTTCGATTGAGAGGATATATCAAACACTCCAGGCAGTGTTTCACCACATTACGAAACACCTCGAAGCTCGTCAAAAATACTCCACAGGTCGTATTTTCAATTCTGTTCTCGGTGTTTGGAAATGTGGTCAAACACGATCTTTCATGTTTGATATATTACTTCTAGAGACTGTTTACGATTTTAAGACCAGTTCTACTTTATGAGATTATTTTTGTCTCTTAGGTGCTGTGATTCCTCCTAAGGGCCAAGGCACGTGTGGCTCATGCTGGGCTTTCGCTGCCGCTGGAGCAGTTGAAGGCGCGAATTTCATTCAGGTTTGTCATGATCTTGTAAATTCAGTACCTTAAGTCTTTATGCATAACTATCATGTTTTATGATTTAATATCCTTTTTATTAGCGTGAAAGCCAGATTCTTCAGGCTTTGTTGTCGATAGCTCGAAGAAAGTTGTTACAACGGTATGCATTCCCACCAACCAAACTTTGTAAAGTTGATTTTTGCTTAAAACTTCGTAGCAGAGCCGTATGGACTTCAAATATATGGTAAATCAAGTTACATACTGCTTTCTAGCAGATCACGGTTCTCGGAGAAAGCACGTTTCACTCCAAATGCGTCAAATCCCGACTCACGAAAACATTATTTACCGCCCTTTCCTCAGAAGTTTCTTCTTCTCCAGTTGCTAATAGAACCTTTTCCTAAATGGCTACCAATTATAAATTATTTTGTAAGTATTAAAATTAGTCTGACTAACCTCGTTTTTGAGTTGATAATTCAAAATAATTTTTACTCCCAAACGAGGTTAGTGAGGCTGATTTAAATTCATACAAAAGAATTTTAAATTGGCAGCAGAAGGATCTATAATCTTGTTCAACTTAGTTTTAAATTAGTAGGATAGAGCGGTTTTCAATTGAAAGTCGTAAAACCCAAACCAAAGTAATCGCTCTAACCAATCACAAAGGACGCAGAAAATCCCGTGAACCAGTCAAATCTCGAAGTAATTAAAGGTAGGTGACGTAAAGGGCGGGAAAACGTACGCGAACGAGTTGCGATTGGTTCTGATTGAATGAAAACTGACGCGAGTTTTTTAAGCCAATCGTGTAGGGCAGCGATGCAGAACCAACACCTTAGTTCCAACCTGCTAACTGGAAGTGTTGCTCATTTCTTGTTAGACTGGTAAACTAGTTGACGTATCCGAGCAACAGCTCCTGGACTGTACATGGGCCACTCCAGGAGTCAAGCATGGCAATAACGGATGCCTGGGCGGCTGGACGTGGAAAGCCTTCGCTTGGATAAAAAAGTTCGGCATAGCCACCGATAAGAGCTACGGTCCGTACCGGGGACAGGTCAGTTTTTTTTTTTTCGTGGCTTTCGCTGAGGGGTAGGGTAGGGATAGCAGCCTGGGGCGAGCTATAGGCGAATCTTTGTTTACACTTTTTGCCCCATTAACATTTGCTTATCACTATCTGATGACGCTAATGAAGGAAAAACTCTGAATATTGAAAGGGATTAACACTTTCAGCTACCTCTGAAAATTTGAGCCCAATACACGGAATGGTTTCGGAGAAATTCTCTTCTAAAACCTCGAAATTTTACAGAGAAATGTATGGCTCATTAACCTTTTTGCCACACAGCAATTTGGCAGTTTTTGATGGCTGATATTTCCTTCAATTTTGCTTGTAAAGAGCTGAAAATTGCACAAATTGCTCGTCAACTTAATCAGCTTTATCAACTTTTGCATTTAGTTCATATATACGGCCACGGCTTCTATGAGTCAAGTCGTATGCTAATGAAGAAAAATGTGAACAATGACGTCAGCAAAGATTCGCCTTTTCAAATGCTTGATTTACAAATACCAATACCAATTCCATCTCATTAATTATCGCTGGGTCGGAACTGCATTTGACTGAGAGACCCTGTTTACGATTAAAGGCACATCTTGAGATGACTTCTACGATGTCGGATTTGCTACTTCTATTTATACATAAGGTGTGGATATAAATAGAGAATAAAATCTTGAACAGTCATTCAAAAGACGCATAACTGTTTCTAGAAGTTCATTCACGGGAGAGCTGCAGTAACAAACATTAAATAGCAGATAGACCAAGACAAGGCATTTTGCCACTGCCGCCATATTGACGATTTCTAGATAAAGTAATTTTCATTGCTATCATACACGAACAGTCATTCTCTTAAAAGGCACATTTCGTGCTGACATATNAGACAAGGCATTTTGCCACTGCCGCCATATTGACGATTTCTAGATAAAGTAATTTTCATTGCTATCATACACGAACAGTCATTCTCTTAAAAGGCACATTTCGTGCTGACATATGCAACGTAATTTACGAGACCCGCATATACGCGCATTTTAGCACGCGTATATATGGGTCCTTGTAGGACGCGTATATTTGGGCATTTATTTCGCATATCCCCGCGCTTGAATTTACGCAAATGTGTGGCCCTTTAAAAATGCGTATATACGCGATCCAAATGGTCGTATATATGAGCTTAAAGCCCATACGTAACGTATGTAAACAAGTATACGCGGCAGAAAAACCGGCCTATACCCTGTCGTAATTTTGAAACGAATGGCCAACCATAATGAAGAGATACATGTTCTGCATCTCCCTCTGTCTTGACAGGAAGGTTATTGCAAGACCGAAGGATTAAAAGTGGGTGCAAGAATCCACAGTTACAGAAGAGTGAAACGCTACAACAAGGAAGCTGTAAAGAAAGCGTTAGCTTATCATGGACCAGCAACCATCTCCATCAACGCCAACCCTAAAACATTAAAATTCTACAGTCATGGCGTCTTGGACGATATTTCATGTAGTGAGTATAGGTTTCTTTCATATGCGTATTTATAGAGATGGTGTTTTGTGAACCTAGGGGAAATAATGCTGCTTAAAAAGAGGATTGTTTTGCTTAAGGATTGGGCTTCATTTATTGAACTGTATGGTTATTGAAATCCATGCCTCCTCTTTCCGTTGTCTGCTACCGTTAGCTCACAGAAAATGAGAAGAATTATTGTTTGTGTACTAAAAAAGGCTTATTCCTACCTATGTGTTGAGGGGCCAACTAAAATTTTTCCTGTCTGTTGTAGGTGTAAAAAAACGTTAGATTAATTTAAAAAAAGTAAAAGGCGGCTGGTTGGCGCAGTCGTTTAAAGTGCGCATCCCCCCTCCCTTCTTGATCGTAGTGCGTAACTTTATTACGTGGTTATTAATTATAACCGCACGAAAAACCCGTTAAGGAATTGTAAATGCCGACGCCTTAAGGTTGTCCCTCTAACCTTCTCAATTGTCGATTTTATTCAGTATCTATTGATAACGGGCACTGAATGGTTCTTTTTCAGATAACAAAACTGACCACGCCGTGTTGTTGGTCGGTTACGGCACTGAAAACGGTGTGCCTTACTGGTTAATAAAAAACTCCTGGTCTCATAACTGGGGAGATAACGGATTTATCAAAATCAGACATGGCCTGTGCGGCGTGGAAAAGAGACCATTTGTTGTTCTAAACAAAGAACGAAAACCACTGCCATGGCAACTTGAAGAAAAAGCTAAAAAAGAGAAGGAGAAGCAACTAAAGGAAAAGTTACGAGAACAAATGAAAGCTGAGTTAGCGAAACAAGATTCAAGCAGTGACAGTAAAATAGTTCGCAAGGACGCAATAGAAGATCCTGACTTTAGGGACATAGAAGATGATGACTATTTGGACGATGTGGACTTTTGGTGACGATTACACAGAGCAGTAACAGAGCCATTATCACAGAGTAGTGTGCCCATATTACACTGGTGAATGAGTGAAATGCGAACTTGTTCTATTTTTAGACGCTCCTCTCTGTGTAAGATGAGGTGTATAAAACTGGTATAACTCGCAAAAATTGCATGCAGCAATTTTTAGTCCCTTGTACAATTCAGATTCCACATATTAATCTAACCGGCGGACGTAAGGAACTAAGCACACAGTCTAGCATGTTGATCATTTACCTTATGACACTACTTTTGATACAAAAATTTCAGTGTAAAAAGCTACCTTTCTCTCACACTTCGACAGAAAAGAAACTATATATCGCCTGTAAATTACATAAAAAGAAATATTCATTGTCTCTCAAGCTTTCGTAATGGAAAATGGAGAGACATTCACTGACATTGCAAGGTGCTGTTAGGGCTTGCCTTATTTTTTATAGTGAATATGCTGTAGTTTTAGTACATTAAATTATTTTATACTTCTATTTCTGAACTAATTGAAGTTTCCTGTTGCGTTCTTCACTCTTTCCCGTGAGTTTCATCATGTGTGGCGTGAATTTCCTGAGCGTTTCCTATGCGTTCCCTTGTTCATTCCTGAAAGTTTTGTGTCGGCCCAGGGTTGGTTGTCAGCCAAAGTTTAGTGGTGACAAAGTTGGGAATAGTACATACTGTGTTTTGGGCCCAGGCTTAGTGAAAAGTGGGTTATCAGGTGAGTTCCCTTGCGCTTGCCGTTCGTTCTATATGAATTCCCCAACATGTCTATGCGTCCGTTACCTCGTGCGTTCATTTCATGTGTTCCTCGTCGTTCTCAGTGCGTTGCCTTTGCGTTTTGCCGTTCATCTCTAGCCTTACCGACCCCTGACCCAACAGGTGCAATGTATACTTCGTATGGTACCGGTGGGATGTATGCAACCCACTTAATTACTAAGAGAGAAGGAAGACGACTTCTGGAGAGACTGGTTGGCATATATCTTACTTTCTTGGAGATGCATTACATCTGGCGTTTAGTAAGGGATGAGGTAAAAATATGATAATGAGGTAGGGGGGGGGTGGGGGCTGGAAAAACTTCCTTTCTAACCTTGCTTGAGTGTCGTCTACCCTCCCCCTACCTTGGCTAATTTCTGTCAGAAAATCGACAAGTCGGACACATAAAGTGAAGTTGATTACCAAGAGCTCACAGGGAAAAATATAGCATTTGGTGTCAGCTAAGGGAGAGTGATGGTATTGTTGACTGTACTGTAACGCTAGGGGTATACTCCATGAAATAACACAAAAAAATAAAAAGAATAAGACTAAATAACCTTTTCTTACCCTCGGCAATGTTTATAGCACAAGTGCTAGTGGGGCCGAGCAAACAACTGAAACAAATAATTCAAACTGAACATAACATTGTTAAGAATCCCAACTGGCCGGAGACAAACCAGTTGGCAGATAACAAATATCAGGAGTGTTAATGAGCTCGTATACACTACGATTACGGAGAGATATACGTACATTTAAGGACATCGATTACGAATAAGGCCTGAGTGATGTTCGACTGGAAGCTACTTATTCCCAAGTGTACTAGATATTACACATAATTGTATGTTATAGTGTTAGAACATCGTATACTCATTACTTCACCAACAGTTATGAAGCTGTGCATTTGCATAGTTTACTTGCCTGCAACTAGTGAGGATATTATACTAAAAGTCCTAAAACTTTACTGAGAGTCAAAATTTCTGTACCCCTTCCCGACAATTTTAATTTGTCAGGACACAAGTGTACACAAACTTAATTTAAGATGTGTCGGTTGCTTACAGTCACTATGTTACTGCACCAGTAAAGAAAAGGACTAACCTCGATCTTTGGATGGCTGTTCTGTACGCAACTTCATCTACGAAATTTAGTTATTGTCCAAGTCTGAAAGCCAATGTAACGGCTTAGTCTGTCCTTATAGTCTGTCCCCATTACTACTGTCCCCAAAAAAGAAATTTTCATAGTTTTACCTTATCTAGTAATTCAAAGTAAAATTGTCGTACAACAATTCAAATCATGTATCCACAGGTTCTATGGTTGTTTTGGTCTTAAAATTATTTTCTGAAACATTAGTCGAATTAAGTCTCTTTTCCCCTAGTAAGGACAGACTCAGCCGTTCCCTTATGTCGAAGGCTGTGTACAAGGCTGGTTGTTGGGATTATAATGCCATTTACATTGGAAAAACAAAGCGTCGGGTGCATGACAGGAAAACGGAGCATTTTAAAATGCTGACGAGTACTAACCACGCTTCTGCCGTGGCAGACCATAAGACCCTGACAGGCCACAGGATAAAATGGAATCTCTTTGACATTTTAGCCACCGGACTATCTGATGTGCATTGTAAAATTACAGAAACATGATTGATTCGTGATTTGCAACCAGCACTTAATGAAAATGTTGGCAGTGAGAAACGTCTTCTCTACTAGCCAGTTACGTGTTTTTGTTTTTTTTTTCAGCAGATTTTAAGTCTGTTTATTTTCATTTATATCCATTGTCATTTCTTTCCTTCTTAGTTACCGGTTTTCCTTATTAGGCACTAGTCTTCTCATTTAAATTTATTGTAATGCAGCTAACCGTTTTATACTTCTGATGATGTATGTAGAAGCATACGAAACGTTAAGTTCTCGAATCAAGGTTTTTACAGCATGCGTTGTTTTGTTATGTTTGTCACTGCAGTTTGCTTTTTATTTTTACTCAAGCTGAAATAGCCGAAGAATAAGAGTTTCTACGAGTTGATGTTCAGTTCCCACTAACGTTTAGACAACATTAAAGATTTAATTTGTAAAAATCGTGAAACTTGTACCGTTCGTCTTATTAGATAGTTTAACAGAGTGATACTCTACATAAATACTTTGGAAAGCTTATCAAATATTTTTGTGGCCACTAAAAGTTATTACATGGTTTAGATGCCCGTTGGCGCATGGGGTAAATCTCCGCAGTTACCATATGTGCAGTTTTTTTTCAAAACTTTGCCAAAAGTTGCGTCTTATCATGCTTCTTAAAATTTAAATTAAAAAATTCACCTTGCCGTTTTTTTAATTATAAGCCCCTAAAGCTGTAATTGAGGGTGTTTTTAGCAGGTCGTGCGGCTGCTATGGTAACCTATTGTGTCGCAAAAATGATAACAACGTGTTCACCAATGATTGGGAAGTTTTTGATACCATGATAGTAGGATCAAGTGATGAAGAGTGGTTATAATGACCCATCAAAATCTAACAGCTAGAAACTGTTTTGAGCCACCTTAATACTGTTTTAAACGCCCTCTTTCGTATTACATATAGAACAAAGACAACACAAGCAGCTTCTTCTGTTTCAAATGATTTATTAATTTAAGAAAAAAAATGTGTTATACAGCATTGAAAAAATAAAGAATTGAAAAGACGATTTAATTTCAAGATTGATGTACTTGCCATCTCATCAGTTCTTGATTTACACACTTGAATATTTCACTTAAATTAAACAAGTTAAATTAAACGTCGATATGAGTCACCTAAACTTTAATAACAAAGGAGAATACTCTATAAAATATGACTTCAGAAACAGATTTCAGCTTTAATAATAAATAATCCAACCTATTTCACAATCAAGAGGGCAAAAAGCTGTGTTTTTATAAAATCACTAGTTTATTTAGGAAGTTGAAGAAACGAAGCTGAATTCCTTAGTTACATGTAATAGTTAATTTCCTAAGACATGAACTTTATAAATTACAGTGAATGGCTGTATTCTTAGATAAATTTCATAGATTACAGTGTTTTTTTTTTTATCACATGGGGTGACAACTTTAATAAGTTCTGTTTCCGACGAACAAAATATTTTGGCCAAGAATCAAAGGAATCGTACTGGATTAGAATTCTGCTCAGAAATTTTGATGCGACCTTACCAATAGATATTACTTTTCAAGCAGC